TTTCAGGAGGATAATGTACCCTGCCACACTGCAGAAAATGTTCAGGAATGGTTTAACCTACTGGAGTTCTTCAGGGACAAATTTGTCCTGAGGGTAACCAGTGTACAGTGTTTTTGAAGATCCTCTGAGGGTTAAGGAAAATGACAGAGTTCAAGATGACACTATGTCCCCAGATCTTAATCCAGTCAAGTATCTGCGGGATGTGCTAGAGAAACAAGACCGATCCATTGGGCCCACCTCACAACTTTACAGGACTTAAAGGTTGTGATGTCTTGGTGCCAGATGTCACTTTTCAGAGGTCTGGTGGAGTTCCTGCCTCGACATGTCAAGAGCTGTTTTGGCAGCATGAGGGGGAGCTACACAATGATAGATAAGTTTTTTTAATGTTGTGGCCGAGTGGTGTATTTTCAAAGGAAACTATCATTTTAAAATGTTTCTCCAGGAATATGTAAAGATGGCATTTTTAAAACACTCCTTTCATCTCAGATATTTCAGACAACCTTGTGCTCTGACCACCATTGCTTTTCAATCACAGGGGGCTTGACCAGACAGATCAATAATAGAAGGTCAGTGGAGATTCTACAGCTACTGTTGTGGGTTGTGGCCTACATGCCCTATTTGGATAGTACATGAGTGGTTTACTGAGTAGTGGGCCTGTTTTCTACAGGTACAATCGATGGTTTATTCTCTGCTGTGTTGCCCTGACAGCTCTAATCAAACAGCAAACTCTGTTTGAAACTTCTAGATGATTGCATATTTGCTGTGTCAAGTTGCATTAATTACACATCAAATACAATTATGCAGCATTCAATGTTCTGAAATGTAGTCTTCAGCAAATGTAATGATACCATACTGTCTGAAAAGCCATTTGATACCAAAGCTGGGAACACAGTGAACGCACCTGAAGTCCTAACAAACTGAAATCTTACACATTTAACAACTGACATTTGTAAAATACAGTTCAAACCTATAGTTAATAGCTCAACCAGAATTACCTTCGAATTTGACCAGATTCAGGTTTAAAAAAACAAAAATATGACATGACAATGACAACTCTGTCACAATTCTTACCCCAACACAACTGGGTCATGGTGACATCAGGTTTACAATCAGGTTTGGATTTGTCAAGTGTTCCCAGCTGAAGTTCATCTGCTAATCAGGAGAACCTTCAATGTGTTCTTTAATAAACTGTGGACGTAAATCACTGTAAACAACGTCTTCCATCTGACAAAGAAGAATGAAATTCCAGTCAAAAGGGCAATTGGTAGATTTTCATAACATAGCAGTAAACTGCAAAAAAAAAACTTAAGGGAACACAATCATTACAGTATAACACAAAGTCAGTTAAACTTCAGGAACATCAGTCTGTCCATTTAGGAAGCACAAGTAACTGTAAATCAGTTTCACCTGCATTAGTGCAAATGAAAGTGACAGTAGGTGCAATGGAGAGGCAAAAGCAAGACAACCCCAAAAGGGAATGGTTTCGCATATGGTAAACGGTCTTATACTTGTATAGCGCTTTTTTACACTTTACAGCACACTCAAAGTGCTTTCACACTATTCGGCCATTCACCCATTCGCACTCCCAAACACACATTCACACACCGGTGATATCACCGGGAGCAACTGGGGGTTCAGTGTCTTACTCAAGGACACTTGCATGCTGACTGGACATGCTGGAAATTGAACCGCTAATCCCCCGGTTAGGAAACGACCCGCTCTACCTCCCGAGCCACAGCCGCCCCATATGGTCGTCACAAACAAATGTTCTCAAGTTTTGTTTTGCTAGTGTCCTTGTCACTACTGGGAGCATGAAGCAGGACCTGCAGCCCAATCAGGCTGCAAGGGTAGTCCAGTTACCGGTACTCCAAGATGGCACATCCATATGTATACACTTGCAAGGTTTGCTGTGTCTCCCAGCACAGTCTTAAGAGTATGGAGGCTGTTACAAGAGACCGGCTGTTACACCAGGAAGCTGGACAGGGCTGTAGAAGGGCAACAATCCAACAGCAGAACCGGTATCTGCTCCTCTGTGCAAGGAAGAACAGGATGAGCATTGTTCTCTTGACAGATGAGAGCAGGTTCACATTGAGCACACATGAAAGAGGCTGGAGACAGGCCTCCATATCATAGCCAGCAGTACCCTGACTGCTGTGAGGTACAGGAATGAAAACCTGAGTGACTGTCAGATCTTACGCTGATGCAGTAGGCCCTGGGCTCCTCCTGGTGCAGGATTTTGAATACAGCCTCCATGGGTTGATGATTTTGGTTTCCATTGACTGTTGTCATTTTGTTCTAATTATACAGTGTGCTTTAATTTTCAACTTGAATAATTTGTTCTTCAGATCCAATGAGTGATTTAGTGTTCCCTTAATTTTTTTGAGCAGTGTATAATCTAACCATCATTTATCTATGAAGGATTTAAAGGGCAGTCACTGAATATGTAGGAGGAAAATACTTCTGCTGATGTCATTTTATTCTGATGGAGGATGATGTAGATCTAAGCATCATTAAATCCTGTTTAATTCACAAAGAAAAAAAATTTAGGTTTGACTCACCTTCCATCAGCGATCTGTAGCCTATGGAGGGGTTCCTGTTTTAAAGTACTGTTAATACGCACTTCAGCACAAATATACTTTTGGTTAGAGAGGCTACATGACCTGATAAGTCTCTACTTTGTGTAATCAAAATTAGCTTTGAGTATAGAAAGGTTTTCCTGTGTGCACAGTCATACCAACTATTACCATTTTAGGATCTATCATGTCGTTTGTGCAGTCCGATTAAACAGCGCAGTGTCTTCTGTCTTATCAAGACTTTCCTCCCTCATCTTGCCATAACAAAATGTAATGTTAATTCTGTAAAGAGCTTTCTTTGCAGATATTTTCCACCAAATAATAATACAGTAGTGTAAAATTTTAAAAAGTAACAAGTGCTTGTATTATTATAATTCACATCACTGCTGAAGAGTACAGAGGACCAACTACAAACAGGTGACAAATTGAAGAAAAAAACCCAAAGAAAGCAGTGGTTTCTTCCAGGATGACAATGCCCCCATCCTCAGGGCACGAGGGGTCACTGAATGGTTTGAGTATGAAAATGATGACTCGTATGCTGTGGTCTTCACAGCCACCAGATCTCAACCCAGTTTAAAACCTATGGGAGACATTTGGAATGATGTGTTAGCTTCCCCACCACCACCATCAAAACAACAAATCTTTTGGAAGACTGGTGTTCATCCCAGTTAAGAGACTTGGAGAGTCAATGCCAAGTAACACTGAAGCTGTTCTGGTGGCCCAACACCTTACTCAGGCACTATATGTTGGGTTTTCCTTTCATTTGTCACTTGTCTGTATATGAATGAGAAAAATCAATAATGCTCAATTAAACAAACAAAAGGAGTCAATCTAACTTTTTTTTGCTTTGACTAAACTATGAAAGTCATCTCATGTTCTCCACTGAAATCACACCACTCTGTTTTCTACAATCCTCAGCTATTCTCATTCACCAAGCGTGAACCGTTGATTCCGTGGTAGGTTACACGGCTCGGACGAACCAGCACTCCATGGCCGGGTCGACAAGTGAAGTACTACACTGCCGTCATTCTTGCCTTTGGGGCTTCGGAGCTCTAGACCCAGCCAAAGGCCTGGGGCAAAGTCTGCTGTGCCCACATAACGGATGAACGCCATCTCATTGGCACTGCTCAGCAGGACCTGCATACCCACCTGCAGGCGGACCTGTCCGTCAGAGCTGGCTGAGGGGCTGGCCCCTGCCGTGTTTCCAGGAACACCACTGCTACCACCGACTGTACTCCGGTGCCGACGATGGGGGTTGGAACAACTTCTTTTGTTTAACAGAATTGTGCAAACAGAAAATATACATCAAGAAAGATATGTGAAAAAAAGGTATGTAGAGTGAGAGGATGTATCAGAAATAAGTGGGAGATTCATTGGATCTCGGTGTTTGAGGGATTGATCTTCAATTCTCTGTTCTCTCTCATTATAGCCACAATCATGCATGGGCCATTTAAAAAAGGAACCTTTGGCTGACTAATGCCACTGCCTCTTTTCAGTATTGATTTTGATTGGTGCAAGGGATTAGGGTGAAACTGAAATGCTGGTCAAGGAAGAAATGTGTGGGCTGTGTGTAAAGGGGCACACCTGGTAACAGGATTTCTTTTATTCGTTTCCTTTGGGGGGGCAATGGCCGATGATGTGCTGAGAGTGCGACGGATAGTCCCTGTATGACAATCACAAGAGTCAAGTACTCCCATACAGATTCATGCTCAAGAATGACTTCACAAGCACTCAGAACAATAAACGCAAACACACATGCATATAATCTCACCGCTGAGGCGTGAGGACGACAGCTCTGACAGGCAATCAACAGATCCATGGATCCTGGGAGTAAAAGAAAAAATTAAGAAACTTTACATTTTCCAATCAGTTTTCAACGCAAGTCAACCTACTGCACAAAACCTCCAATTACACTGACCCAGTTTATCACATAATCCTTAGCAAATTAATGTGGAGCAAAATACTGTATATTAAAATGTCCCTTTTGAAAATTCATTAAATACTGGCAGATATTGTATTTAACATTTTAGAGTTCAAATGTAAATAAGGTTGACTTCATCTGATGATGGCCCCCTGTCTCACAACACCAACAAGGAAAATAAGTCATTTTTAGCACAAGAGCACTTGTCCTGTTTATTGGTGTTTTCTAAAGCTTCTGTGCAACTATAACAATGTTAGGGTTTTGGAAGTCATTAAGAAGTGAAATGTTGAAAAATGAGCAAAAAAAAAGGCAGGGGGGTGTATTAGAAAAGCTGTTTGTTTTACTAATGGCTTGGGATAGCTGCTAACAAGAGAAGAAAGAAGGAGAAACAAGTTGCTAAATGAAGAGAATGTGAGATTTTCTCCACTGAGCACACTATGTGCCCCAGGGTTAATTACAAAGGGGGAAAAAAAAGACAGGAAAGGACATCAATAAGGGATGGTAAGAAAACAGGTGCTGGAAGCAACAGCAGGAAAAGTGAGCGGAGTGATGAGATGGGAAGAGGAAACGGCACTGAGATGAACCAGCAAAAGAAGTGGAGACCAACTGAATTTAAATAAATAAATAAATAAACATTTGTTCTCAAAATGTGAAGCAAAAACAAAAACCAATGTCTGACAGTGAATAACCTAGTGCCTTGTGAATATGTATGCCAGACAACAGGTTCCATATCCTCAGGATTAAATAAGCTCCATAAATAGCCACCTATACATCTGGAATTGTCGGTTCCACTGTGCCATAGTTTACATGAGGCAAACAAAAAAAAAAAAATCTGGTGCCCAGACATCTTTTTTGCCAGTATGAAACAGAGAGGGTTGGACAACTATAGCTGGATGTTACCAGTTATGTTTAGAGTTACATAAAGTCATTATCTTAAAGATGATCTAGGCATCTTCAAGAAACACAGCTAGACAGATAAAAACTCAGTTTTTATACATGTGTTTCTCTGTGTCTGGGAGAATGACAGTAACAAGAAACTAATTTAGTATGGTGGATTTGTGGCTGCATGACTGTTCTAACCTTAGGTTAAGGGATTATCTGACAATATTGCAATTTGATTCATACTATAATCAACCTGTTCACTGCAAGAATGATGTTTTGTGTTGCTGGCTTTATAGAGTAAAAGTAGTTTAGTGATAAATGTTGGTGGCTGAGCACTTCTCTTCAACACAACCTGTCTCCATTGTCTTTTCTTCCATGTTCTGTCTTCTGGACTTATAACATGCCATTATTCTATATTGGACTTGGAAAAAAAAACGTTGTGCTAGAAAGATGGTATGGAAAGTTTTCAGACCTTTTCAAGTTTTCCACACCATTATGTTTCAGACTCATCTTAAAAGTGATTCACCCCCTCAGTGAAACTAAAATATCCCATTTATACAAATATTCAGACTTAGCACTTGGTTAAAGCACCTTTGGCAGCAACAACAACCCCAAGTCTTCTTGAGAATGAAGCTACAAGCTTTCCACACTGTTTCTTTTGCAATATTCTAACATTCTTCTTGGCTGAATTCTTCCAGGTCAACAAGATTGGATGGGGAGCACTGGTGAAGCCTTGTTTCAGGTCTCTTCAGATGTTCTATTGAGTTTAGGTCCAGATTCTGGCTGGGGCAGTCCAGGCCTTTTACAGAGATTTCCTGAAGCCACTCCAGGAGAAGGTTTTCATTCAGAATTGCTCTACATTTTTCAACATTCATCCTTACTTCTTTCCTGACTAGTCTTCCAGTAAAACATTGCTACAGCATGATGCTGCCACCATCATGTTTGACTGTAGGGACGGTATTAGTGAGGTGATGCTCAGTGCCTGGTTTTCTCCACACATGCTGTTGGGAGTTGTGGCTAAATACTGTAGTTCAGTCTTTGGTTCATCACACCAGAGGATTTTGCTTCTCATGGTCAGACAGTCTTTCAGGTGCCTTTTGGAAAACTCCTAGCAGGCTGGTAATGTGCTTTTTAATGAGGAAGGTCTTCTATCTGGCCACTCGACCATAGAGGCCTGATTGGTAGAGTGCTGTGCTGACAGTTGCCCTTCTGCAAGGTTTGGTTACCTCCAGAAAGGAACCACATCCAGTCAAGTAAGTTAGATGATGTTACACTGGTGAATATAGTTGATTTATGGTATTCAAGTTTCACTGGCAAACAATAAATCAAAATGTGTTTTTATACAGTAGTTAGCTAGGAGGCAGACATGGAGGATGTGGATGAGGTACAGAAAGAAGAGACCTGAAAGGACTGCAAAGAAAAATGCAGAAACTAGTGGCTTACGAAGTTGGAAAAAAAAAGCTTTCATTTTACATTTCTGAACAGAATTTTACATTGAAGTGGGGGAATCATAAGGAATGTTTATTTTATTCAACATTCATGCTTTTTTGTTCTGTAATGACAGAAACAATTAAAGTTCTACTTAGAAATAAATCCAAGTCAAAAATGTCTTTTTTAAAATTTGCATGCATGTCCGCTTATGACCAAACAAAATGTTTATATATGATAAAGTTTGTATAAATGGTATCATCAGATATACAATATTTATGGAAAGCAATGACACGGAGCATCTTCTGGGCAAATTCTCTCAAAATCTGATCTCAAGTTAGAAAAATTCCTTAAAGATACTTGTTTTTGCTTCTGTGGACCAATTAAACATTAGTGGAAAACATAAGCTACATAAGGGCCTGCACTCACCTTTGAACATGAGATGAAGGAGCAAAAACACCATATTTAGGTGGGCAGCTGAAGTATCTCACTCCTCCCACTGATCCATCATTCTTACCACTTGGCTTGTCCAGTTCAATGCCCAGCCAGAGACCTGCACAGACAAAGACGCTGTACTGTTAAGGGACCACTTACTGAGTGTATAAATCATTAATGTTGGTAACTGAAAATATCAGGTGTGTTGGCAGGTCGTGCAGGTTTGCTGGATAGATTGTACACAGAAGAGCAGTTAGCTGAACATTTGGCTGCCAGAAGGGTGCTACATTACTACCTCAGTAAATGGAAAGTTAGTCTTGTAAATGTTGGTACAATGCAATTTTTTTTTTTTTAATTTGTTAACACAACGCTAAAATGCAAGTGTTTCAGGACAGCTTTCCATGTCACTTGGCAAATATTTTCACCATACAGCATAGCAGGCAGCTCCTAAATAAATACTCTCTTTTAGCACTAATTTTCAGTTGTTGCCCTGTAAAATGATGCGACTATTCAATGTGAGGCTTAATGACTTTATAATGACTATAAGACACCTTGCGGGTGCCACATTAAGATCTAGACAAAATGCTAAAAAGGAGTCCATTAATTGTGAAGTGCTCAGCAAGAAGAGCAGTTTTTAGTATAAAGAGACAGTTCCCTACTAGCACCAATTTAAGTAACATAAGAAACCTACGTTTTAAATCCCTTCAAATATGATGCTCAATGGTGAGAGATATGTTACTACTTAGTCATACATGACTGAAGCCTGGGAACAACTACTGCCTAAATATTAATGAATACTACAACCTATCTTCTGTATGGGTTTTCTGTGACTTTTGTTCAGCAGCCAAGTGTCTTCTCACTAACTCAGTGTTTTCACCGAAGCATTTCTGGTAGCCCGACGCCTCACTGAGACGCCTTATGTTGGTTTTACGTTTAATATGTCACTCATCTGTATATTAAAATAATTATTTGAACAAAGCATCGGTTCACTAGTTTGCTGCCCAGTTAATTAAAAGTACCAAGATAAATTTATGGCACATTAAAGAAAACTGCAGTATGTCAAACAGCAAGGTAAGAAAAGATTTATTGACAGGATAATAATTTTTAATATTTTCTATAGTTTTTTTTTTTCCTAAACACAAGGTGCTATACAGCCAAGGCTGATATGACTAAACCTTTGCCAGAGAGCACAGTTTGGTGATTTTTACCCCAACAGCCTAAGGACATGTACTGCTGCATATTGTCAAATTAGTCATATACACAATTTCACTGAATTAGTATCAAATGCTAATACTAATAAGACTCGAGAGCATTTGTAGGTGTATACCCATACTGTACACCATTCACATTGCAAATAATCAAGGTCATGCAATATTCAGTAAATCTAAGATTTATTGAAGACACTATTAATATCTTTATGGCCATTGTTAACTTTACTGTTGACTGTTATTGCTATCATGGCTAAGATACTACATCCCTGTTTTTCTACTGTTCATTGATACAGTATAATCTGCACCCACCCTGTCCCCACCCCCTTTTTTCCTTGCTCATATTTTATTTATTTTTGTCTTTATTTCACTACTTTTTACAGTTACCATCATGAGTCACTGTATCATATTTATTCACTCATCTTTCTTCCCGATCAACATATTTGGGTATTCGGGTATGTGATCTGGGGTCACTCTGGGGAGCCTGGACTGGGCAACGTGGGGGCGAAGGCCCGTCACTGTTGCCTTTCCCTCAATCACATAACATCAATGGACTGCTGACAACCTCATGAACAAGCTCCCTCCTCAGGGTCTGGGAGGCGGTTTATGAGGGGAATACATCAGGCAATGAGTCGGATCTCTCCATTCAAGGTCAGGGACCGACCCTGAGCTGCATATTTCAGTCCTGAAATGGTAACAAATCATGATAAACAATAAGACTGAGGAAAGGTTGAAATTAACCATAAAATAAAGATCCTGCTGTCTGGGCCAACCTGAACCTGCTGAGCAGCTCCCCAGTGGTGACCTTGGTTTGTTATAGTGCTTTTGATTTGGAGTGGAAATATCACTGACACACTCCCTGTCGTCATTACTTGCAATACAGCAGCACATATTTGATAAAATAAAATTGATGAGGTATCACATCAAATAATGTGCTACTGTATTGTTTTCTATGTAATACAGGACATAGATGATTCACACATCACTCTTTTCAGTTTTAATTTTCATTTCGCATTCCGTCCCAGTGTTTTCTGATTTGGGGTTGTATTTGCTGGTTTAAATCATCCTTGCTTTGTTAACATGTTATTTTGTGTTGGGATAAATTATTTTAAAAAATACGTTTTTGAATATTAGCTAATGATTCAGGCATATGATTGGAGTGCCATCCAAACTATACAGATACAACAACACTGCTACCAAAGTTTACAGTGGTTTCAACTACCAAACTGTGACAAAGAACTGACCTGGAGCAAAGCTGGTCTTTCCATAAAACTGGACTACCCCTGTTCTCTGGCCTACCACCAGTACCCTCTCACCCAGGTGCACCTCAGGGCCCTCACACACAGGGCTACTAGCTGACGGCGCACAGCTTCGAAAACCTGGACAGATGAACAAAGTCTTTCATTACTTTGTGACAGCTAAAACAATGCCCCCAGTTTGGTTCCATTAGATCTCTGTAATCATGGGAAAGTCCTGAAATAATAGTGTTACAATGATAAAGACCTGCAGTAGTAAGCACAGTAGTGCCAGAGGAAGAACGAAGAACTGGTGAGGGTGTGGTCCTGGGACTTGGGGAAATGCGCTCCCTGTGCTGTCTGGCAGAAAGGCGCTGCCTTGGCAGTGGACGAGATTTGGTGCGTGACCCATGCCGTGAATCCAGTGAAGAGGAAGAAGAGGAGAGAGAGCGAGAGAGGACACCTGCGATGAAAATGACACAGGAACGAGTGACAGGTAATTTAAAGAAAGAACCTTACAAAACAATTGACAGACACCTCAAAAAAGTGTATAAATGGTTACATTTAAGTTGCACTAACACATTACTTGTGAATGTTTTCATTCTACTTGTTTAAAGTCACACAGCACAAACCCTGTACCTCCTCTGTTAATACTGAACCAACCATCCACCCATTTAGGCTTATATCAGAGACTAGTGTTCATTTCCTCTATTGTTTTCTTATGAATGCTGTAAGATTTGATTCTTATAGGCTCTAGCTACTTTATAACCTTTAGTTACTTTTCAGTTCTTCATTGTCTTTTAGTTACTTTTCATACCTTTCAAAACTGTATTGATGATTGTCCAGAACTACTGCGCTTTGGTTACTTTAATACATTTATTTTCCTTGCATATACAGTGGTGTGAAAAAGTGTTTGCCCCCTTACTGATTTCTTATCTTTTTGCATGTTTGTCACACTGTAATGTTTCAGATCGTCAAACAAATTTATATATTAGTCAAAGATAACACAAGTAAACACATCATGCAGTTTTTAAATGAAGGTTTTTATTATTAAGGGAAAACAAAATCCAAAACTACAAAGCCCTGTGTGAACAAGTGTTTGCCCCCCTGTCAAAACACTGGTTTATCGCACCTGAGTTCAATTTCTCT